GCAGGGGGCAGGCTGAGGGACCAGGGTGGGCAGGGGGCATGGGGCAGGCTGAGGGACCAGGGGGTGGCGGGGGGCAGGGGGCAGGCTGAGGGGCCACGGTGGGTGCTGGGCAGGCTGAGGGACCAAGTAGGCAGGGAGCAGGGGAGGGGTTTAGCAATCTGGCTGACTCCTTCGCACCTCCAGATTCTTGTACAGCTGCACTTTGTCCCCAACCACGGCCACATACAGTTTATTCTTGAAACCACGTAGTTCCAGGCTGCCAGCACGGTCAGGTGGCTCTGAGCCTCGAATACCCAATGGATAAGCGCTAGACAGCTGGGCCCGGGCATACTGAGCAGCCACTGCCTGCTGAAGGGCCTGCATCCACTCCTTCCGCTCCACTGCAGGCCAAGGGGAAAGAGTAGGCCTGAGCTCAGCCTGGCAGGGAGCCCCCTAAGGTTCTCTATTCCAGGCTCCTCAGGCAGCACCTCCGCCAGCAAGCCCACCCAGACCACCCCACCCATTTCTGACTATCTGTGAGTTCTTGGACTTGGACAAGCTCAGGCTCCAATCTCAGCTGTGCCACCTACGCTGGACAAGCCACTTCGCCTATCTGAGCCTATTTCCCTTGCAAATGGAAATAAATGGTTCTCAGTGGGTGTCTCAAACACAGAGCCACAGAGTGTCCCCTTCTCTCTCCCACCTCATAGAAGATGGACTCTTCTCTGGGTTTGACGCAGGGGGAGCAGATGTGCCCTGGTTCTCCTCCCTCCACTTACCAGGCCAAGCTGCCAATCTTCTCCCAGCCCTACCCCTCACCATCACTCTCTGCCCGGAAGGCAAAGGTCCGGTTGTTCGTGATCACTTCAAACTTCTGGTCCCCAATGGCAGCCACGCGGGAGATGCAGGCCACAGAGATAAAGCGCTTAGAGTAGGCGTCCTGGGGAGAGAGGGAAGCTGTACTGTGGTTCAGAACTCCTTGGTTCCCTTGACTTTAGATGACACAAAAATTAGCTACAGCCCCGTGCCCCACAGGTGATGAGGGATATCCCTGACACTGACCCTGACCACGGCCCACAGCAGGCCAATTGGCGAGGAAGACACGGTTCAAGGAGTCAGACTGGAGCTCTAGTGAGGTCTGGTCTGGGGAAGGACTCCACCCAAGCCTAGTGTCAAGGGTCAGCCTAGGGCCAGGCTGGAGCAGGGGTCCTGTCAGGGACCAACATGGGCCTCACCTTGTTACTGTCAAAGTATCTCAGATGATCGGCATCCAGTCTCACCCATCGCTTCTGATAGATATAAGATCTGGAGAAGAAGAGGCAGAGGGAAAACAGAGCAAAGGACTGGGGATTAGAGGAGAGGCTCCAAGATTACCCCCGCCCCCTCTCACAGCCACATACAAAGTTAGAAATAGCCAGGTTCAAGGGAGGAAGGAACCCAAATGGCCACTGAGAAAAGGGACTTTACCTATAGCAAGAATGATAGAAGTCAGACTCAAAGTAAGACTTCCCAACTTAAAAAGAATTTTTTTAATGTTTATTTATTCTTGAGAGAGAGACAGAGCACAAGCAGGAGAGGGGCAGAGAGACACAGAGACACAGAATCCGAAGCAGGCTCCAGGCTGTGAGCTGTCAGCACAGAGTCCAACGTGGGGCTCAAACTCATGAACTGTGAGATCATGACCTGAGCCAAAGTCGGATGCTTAACCGACTGAGCCACCCAGGCGCCCCAGGACTTCCCGATTTTAACGGTAATAAAACA